CTAGATCGAGACTAGCGGCCGAAAATTAGGGTTTTCGGTTTGTGTTAAGGTTTTGCTCTGATACCATGTAAGATTATGAATCTCTATGGAGAGTTATATTATTGACACAAGCCTTATATAGGCGATGGAGGAGTGCTCTCCAATTAATCTATTTACATATATGTCATTATCATCAATAAGGAAATATTCTATATTCCTATATTCTAACATTAAATGGCTTGATTCTAAAGAAGAAGGTTCGGTGCTATATGTTTGCCTTGGAAGTATATGCGATCTTCCTCTCTCTCAGCTCAAAGAGATTGGGCTAGGCTTTGAGGAATCCCAAAGACCATTCATTTGGGTCATAAGGGGTTGGGAGGAGAATAACGAGTTAGTTGAGTGGATCTCAAAGAGCGGTTTCAAAGAAAGAATCAAAGAGAGAGGTCTTCTCATAAGAGGATGGTCGCCTCAAATGCTTATCCTTTCACATCCAGCCGTTGGAGGATTCTTGACACATTGTGGATGGAACTCGACTCTAGAAAGAATCACCTCGGGCGTTCCACTGCTCACATGGCTGTTGTTTGGAGATCAATTCTGCAACGAGAAATTGGTCGTGCAGGTTTTAAAAGCGGGTGTAAGTGTTGGTGTTGAAGAGGTCATGAAATTTGGAGAAGAGGAGAAAATAGGAGTGTTAGTGGATAAAGAAGGTGTGAAGAAGGTAGTGGAAGGATTGATGAGTGATAGTGACGATGCAGCAAAAGGGAGAAGAAGAAGAGCCAAAGAGATTGGAGAATCAGCTCACAAAGCTGTGGAGGAAGGAGGCTCTTCTCATGCTAACATCTCATTCCTCTTACAAGACATAATGCAACACGTGAAATCCAATCCAAGAATTGATTACATCATACTATATAGTAACGAATTTCATGCAATACTTTAGTTAGTACATACTACTTAAGATCGAGTAATCAAATTCGTATTATTTTCCCTATTAAAATGATGCAAACTTTGTTTCTCCCGAGCTTGTCAAAATGTTCTAACGTGGAGGTTATTATCATTCATCAGTTGGTTTCATACTGCATTTCATTTATCTAGAATTGGTCTGTCGTCTGTGTGGTGTTAAACTGAACTTTTAAAAATTTTAATGCAAGGGTAAAATAGTAAATTGCTGAAACAAAACCCTACAGGCTTCGTCTTCTTCGTGCAATCTCTCGAGCCATTTTTTACAGTTTTTTTTTCACGATCTGAAGGTAGAAGATACCGATTAGAGCTCCGATTATCACGTTTCCAACGATTTTGCCCGATTATTTTGAATTTCATACCCTAATTGGAGCAAATCGGCCGGGTTTTAGAAGAGAGGGTCTTATCACATTTCGTTAAAAAAGGTGAAATTGCAGAGCTAAGAACAAAGTAAGCTATCAATGGAAAGCGATACAGAAGAGCAAATGGTTTTCTTGGATCGTACAACCCGAGCAACACGGGGTAAACGGTAATAACCACTCGAACCTAAGATTCTACGTGATGAATCTTGAGATCCTGTTTTCTCAATTTTATACAAGAACTCTCTTTTGGAATCTTTATTCACTATTTTTTTTTTAGAATGACCAAATTGCTTGATGACGAAGTAGAAGAAGATGAACAGTTTTGGAATCAAGAAGCTCTTAAAGAGGTCTCTTTTTTTGTGTGCTAATTTTCCTTTGCTAGAGATGGGATTGATTTGTAATTGGAGATTTTGAAATATTGTAATGCAGCAATCTGATTTTGTAGATAAGTAGGTAACAACATTTTGCTATCTGCAGGAAGAACATGATGATAACTATGAAGCAGAAGGCGAAGTTGCTGATGAGTTTGACAGCGACTTCAGTGATGATGTATATTTCAGTATCAGTTTCTTAATTCATCAAAGTGTTGCTTGGATCCTGTTTTTTATAATGTATTTCTTTTGACTGATTTGGGAGTAGGAGCCCGAGCCTGATGCAGCGGTAGTAAATGAAAAAGAATTGAGGTTTGTTCATCCTTGATGTTTGTCTCGTGATTGCTTTTTTTTTTTTACGTATATCATTTTAATTGGTTTACAATTTTGTATATCGTTGCAGAGATTTGCCGAAGAAGCGGCTGATTTACCCTGGGAAAACTGCTCCA